ACCTAAAGATGCTGGATTATTTTGTACTACTCCACCATCAATATATTTATCTTCTCCAATCTTCCATGATGGAAAATATAAAGGAGCAGCACTTGTTGCCATTGCTACATCTACAGCTAAATTATTCTGACCAATTAATACTGGTACTATATTGCTATTAGAAAAATATATTGGTGTATTGCTATCTTGAGTAAAATCTGTTTCTGTATCATTTTTCTCAAAAGAAGTAATCAGAACATTAGTCTTCATATCCTGCATCGTTTGAGTACCGAAGACATTATCTAATTTACTTTTTAATCTCTTTGTTCCTATTCCATCGGTAGTACTTGGATAAAAGGTTGGGCTACTTAATGGTCCGCCAATAATAGTATTAATTTTTGTTAAGGTCGATGGTCTAGATGAGGGAGTACTAGTACTTGTAGTAAATATCCATGGTCCATCTTCAGTAAAAAATGGTAATATATCAGTAGGAGATTTTCCGCTAGCATAGGCAAGAGCCGTAATACCACCAATAGAGCTACCAGTAATTACATCAAAATGTTTCCATATCTCATTAGCATTTATTCCCCATTGTTGAACAAAAAGCTTAAAGAAAATAGCAGAAAGATAACCTCGCATTCCACCACCATCCAGTGATAATATCCGTAATGTGTTTCTATCAGACATCTAAAACCTACCTGCATTTAATTTCATTTTCTGGTAATTAACTAGTGACCTCTTCATGGAACGTTCTAAAGCATAGCGTAGAGCATCTATTCCGTGATTGTTTTTATCTTCGACTTTCTTAGTAATATCACCGCTACGTTCATCCACTATAAAAGAATATGTGGCAAATTCCCTTATTATATTAGGGCAGCGAGGATGAATAATAACTTGATCGAATGAGCGTATATAGGCAATACCATCTTCAATTGAACCTTTACCTTTATCTGCTGGGTAAACACTAAAACCATACTCTCTTTTATTTAAATAAGAGATTACATCAGGTCTTGCGCTATCTGCGTATATTGCATTACCTCTTATATCTGGGAGTTTATCTATTAGAAATTGTCCTATTTGGTCTATTTCAAGAGTCTTCTGAAATGCTTCATGTGTTATAAACAAAACATTATCTTTAGCATAGCATCTAATACCAGCAGTTGGGTCTTGAGAAAAACCAAAATCAAGACCAAAATATTTATGTACTGACGCATCTTCTTCAAGTTCTTGTGCATCCCATTTTTTAGCAAAAACTTGAGCGGCTGAATGTTCTAAACACTCACCTTCCCATATATGTCGGTAATATCCATAATCTCTTGCTTTATCGCTCTCCATCTCATCTTTTAGAACATTTGGAAAGTATGGATTATCTTGCCAGTTTACTTTGACTCTATAGGTATTATTGGAAACTGATTCAGGCTCTATAAACTCTCTATACAATATGTCAGTCTTGTTTTTTGGATTCATAGTAATCCAAATTTCAGAGCCTTCATTTCTAATAGTTGGCTTAATTACTCTCCAACTCTCAGCAGAGAGAGTATCTGCCTCTTCTATCCATAAATGCGTAATGCCAGCCATAGACTTAATACTATCTATGTTATGATATAAACCTTTAAAGATAAAACGACTATTGGCTAGTGGGCATTTAATTACATCATGAGTTACTTCGTAGTAATCATCTAAACCAAGAGCTTCTATCCTTTGTTTAAGTAATGAATGTACACTATCTTTAATCGAGTTTTGAAACTCTCTGCCACATAATACCAAACACTGCTTTTTTATTGCAGTAAGAAGCAAACTATCAGCGACAGCAAATGATTTACCACTTCCACGTCCTCCGTACAATATTTTATATCTATAAGATTGAAATAGTGGTAACTGCCACCACTCAATCCTTAAGTCTGTGTTCTGGCTTATCATTTACGTGTATGTTAATTTGTAGGAGTTGTTTTGATAGAGTTGTATCTTTGGTCTCAACTACTTGTTTTTCTGACCATTCACCCAGAGCTTTTAATGAAAAAATAAGAGATGTAGCGCATCCAGTTTCATCAATCCCCATTGATTTATCTTCTATTTTTTCCGATAACTTTAAGATTTTTTGAGCTCTGCCTTTTTTATACTGTTGGAAAACCTCTGGTTGACGCTTTCTAATTTCATAAAAAGTACTTCTATCTATACCAAAATAATCAGCAATTTGCTCTGTTGTTAAATGAGCAGCTAGCATTTCAACTTTTTTTATTTGCTCTTCTGTGAGTTCAATTTCAGGACGACCGCCTTTGTTGATTGTCATATAATTTTCTCGCAATTATTATTGCTTGTATTATATGATAATAAGCTTAATTTAGCAAGTTAGTTAGTCTTCGTAGACTATATCTCTTTTAGCTATACTAAATACCACTACTGTAAGGATGTCATCCTTAATTTTACATACTATTCTATATTTATTAACTCTATATCTCCAATAACCTTTCATTTTACCAGTAAGAGCTTTTCCTAATATATATGGGTCTTGATTTTTGAGTATCTTATTATGTATGTATTTTAATATTATAATCTGAGTATCTCTATCAAATTTCCTAATTTGCTTTTTAGCCTTCGTTTCAAGTTCAATCTTCCATTTCATCTTCTAGACCTAATTCTTTTATCATATCTTGTAATGATATAGTTTCTCCTGTACTAGCAGCTAGAGCTTGATCTGCTAAAACAATATCCTCTGCATCTTCAATGGCCTCTATAACATAATTCTCTAAAGCCTGCTTTATAATACGGCTTTTTGGTCTATCTTGAAATTTAGCTACTACATTTAAATCATGTTCTAAAGAATCTGGTATACGTACTGTTATTGCACTCATATTAACCTCTTGATGTTATTTGTTACCATTGTAATACAAAACAATACATTAATCAAGCATATTGACAAGGTAGTAATTGATTGATAGAGTTTAGAAGGAGATTGTGTCTTAATATTATATTTTTTTAGTTCATTTTACTTTCTCAGAATTAGATCTATTTTTGCAATCCCCGCTCCCAAAAAAGTTAAAAACTGAGAAAAATCCTTAAGAAAATCCTACTCAAAAAAAGAGTCATAAATTTTATTATGGAAATTATTGCTAAAATATCACATTATTTTTACCCAGAGTGTTAAATAATTAACCTAAATTAAATCTAAATCCTTCAACTCCTTCATGTCTCTTTCTCTCTTTTTTCTTTCAAACTCCTCTTTGAATTTCTTTAAAGCTACTTTAGAATCTAACTCAACAGGCACAGGTATCTTATCCCAATTAACTTTTTGTTTCTTATTCTCTTTTGGCTTTCTATTATATTTTATAGGCTCTCTTTCAGATTTACCTTTCTCAATAGCTGAGTTTAATTCAGTATTTTCCAATCTTAACCTATAAAATGATTTCTGACTAAAACCATATCGCTTAGCAATATCTTTTACATTTACTCTTTCTCTAGATAGCTTTTCAATTTCTAGTAGCTCTTTTTTTGTAAATTCTTTTTTCGTCATATCACCCCTCAAAATGGAATTTCGTCATCTTCTATATCAGTATCAGGTTCAGTAGATTGTTTACTCTGACCTACCTTATAGCGTCCATTATCCTTTTGTTCTAATGAAGCTTCCTTACTATTTGAACCAAGCAATACTAAGTTTGAACTATAGCCTTTTAGTATAACCTCAGTGGTATATTTTTCCTGATTATCTTTATCTATCCACTTTTTAGTCTGTAGCTGACCTTCAAGATAAAGTTTTGTGCCTTTTTTAACGTAGTTCTTAATTACTCTCACTAAGCCTTCATTAAAACACACTACTCTATGCCACTCGGTCTTATCTTTTTTCTCACCGCTAGACTTATCTTTCCAGCTTTCAGTAGTAGCTATACTAAGATTAGCAATTTCTTTGCCGTCGTTAGTTGTTCTGATTTCTGGGTCTTTGCCTAGATTACCAATTAACGTTACTTTATTTAAACTTCCTGACATGTTATTTCTCACCCTCTTCATTGACTAATTTTTTAAACTCTTCTAATTCACTCATCAAAGAAGCAAAAAGAAATTGAGCATATTCTTTTCCGCCATAATGCATCATAGTGTTTTTATGAATTGATGTTCTCCATGTTTCTAAGTATGTAAACAATTCATTGATTCTTTTTACTAAATCAAAGTTATTATTTTTTATATTTTGGTAAGCAATGTTTTGTTTTTGACTTTCCAATAAATTATTTTCTAAAATTTTTTTCATTAAATTATCCATTAGTTATATCCCCATCTGTTTCTGTGAATTTAGTTAGTATTCCATCGTATTTCATAAAGAATTTACCAGTCATACCTGACCTGTTTTTTTCTACTATTAACCTTATTGATGTTTGCCATTTTTTATAATATGAAGGTTTGTCATCTAACCTATGTAAAAAAATAACAATATTTGAATCCTGTTCTATTGAACCTGAATCACGTAAATCTGATAATATTGGAGTTTTATCTGCTCTCTTTTGATAATCTCTAGATAATTGAGAAAGTATAATAATTGTTATTCCAAGTTCGCTTGCAATACTTTTAAAAGTTTTAGTAATATGCTCTACTTCTGAAGTTCTGTTTTGACCTGTAAATCCTGATAGATGTATCAATTGTAGATAATCAATAATAATTACTTTCATATTATTTCTGATACTTAATCTACGGCAATTAAGATAAAAACTTCCCAAATCAATTATTCTATTAGTAAAAATTTTAATACCAGCTTTTTCAGAAGAGATTTTATCTGCATATTTTCTTACTAAATTATATCTTTCTTCTTGTCTGTATTCGTCCTTTTTTCCAATGCCAGTTACGTTTGAAAGTATTCTTTCCTTGACCTCATGTTCATCCATCTCAAAAGACCATAAACCAACTGTATAATCTTGGTCTCTAATATTTAAAGCTAAATTAACAGCAAATGCACTCTTACCTCTACCAGTTCCTGCCCCTATTGTTACAAGCTGACCCGCGCCAAACCCCTCTATTATTTCATCAAGTTTCTTATATCCAGTACTAATTTTATATTCCTCTTTCCTATTAAGTGTCTCCAGTAAAGAATCTGCATAATTTTTATCAAATGTACCAGTAGCAATACTATCTAGCATATCATTAGTTTTTTCAGAAACGTTGTGGACTACATGCGAAATATCATCAATTCCATCAGTGTTTAGCAATGACTGCTTTGCCTCTGTGTATTTGGAAAGCATTTCCCTCCTTACAAACTGTTTATTGATTTTATTAAACAGACCTTCTGCAAGAGCACTACTGCCAAACAACGATATTGCTACAGCTCTGCAATGAGATATATGTTTATTTTTTTCTACATCTTGATTCGGTGAGATCTCTTTCCAATCATCCGAAGTTATAGAATTGATGGTCGCATAAATCTCACTCAAAGGTTTGCCATCACCTAAATGAACTCGTAAAAGCTTAAAAATATGAGCGTTATAGTTACAAACAAAACTCTGCTCATTGATGAGTTTTATCGCTAATAATGCTGCTTCTTCATTGTCCAGAATATAGCCAATAGCCTTATCTTCATTGTCTTTATCAAGAGTTAAAATTTCTGAATATTTATTCTCTTCTGCTTGGTTCATTAAGTCCATTCTATACCTCCTTTAGCAATTTCAGCTTCTAGTTTTAATTGGTTTTGTTGTTGAATTTCAGCCATGGACAAAGCCTGTTCCTCCTGAGTTGGTGGGTACTTGTTTGCATACTCGTAGTCCTTCTCACCATTGATCATTTTAACGAGGTATTTGATAAATCCACCTCGTCCTCCGTATATTTGCATGTTAGTCTTCTTCTCCAAGACGTATTCTAAGATCGCCCTGACTTTACCAGTTGTGTAATGCAGTTTATTACTTTGAGATATCGCCGTTTCTAACATTTTATCTGTAAACGGAAAGTCTCGTAGGTATGGTGCTTTATAGGTTTTACCATCCTTACCTTTAACCTCTAATGTTTTGATATTACGCTGAGTATTAACCTCATATTCTTCTCTTGCTAATCTATTTTCTGAATTTTTAACAATTTCAGATGTTGCAATTTTAGCTTCTTCTGTTTCTACACACTCGTTACTAAAATTTTTAGAAATTTGGGACTGATTATGCTGATTATCTTGATTATCAGTTGTTATCTTTATTGTTTTCTTATATATATAAGTAGAGGGGTTGACATTTGTGTCATCCATGGTTGACATTTGTGTCACTGATGGCTGACATTTTGAAGAGTAATTTTGATTATTTTGTTCTTCGGATTTTGTGATTGCTTCTATCATTTTTTGATCAAAATCAGCAACCCTCTCAATCTTTATTTTATCCTTCTCTACAACACCATTTATTATTTGAGAGTTTTTGAATTTAGCATTGATATAAAGACTAATATTATAAAAAGTCCTAGTTATTGTTCTATTATGTTTTTGCCTAGGAAATTTATTTTGTAGGAGCCATTTGTATGTAGAAGTACATATTTTTCCGTTCTTAGTCCATTGAATGCATAAATCTAATAAGAGACAGTCTTTCTCACTAAGGGGTGAACCATCAGGACGCACTAAATTGCCGTAATAGCTTTTTCTATTCTCCCCTCTCGCTTTTTTCTTTTTAGCGAAATCGTCAAAAGTAGTAGAAATAAAGCCAGAACTATTATTACTATGATTTGTTAAGCTTGGATTGTACATTCCATTCCTCCTTTTAAAAATTTTGTTGAAAGTTCTATTTCTTTTAATCGTCTAGATTGCTCTTTGACTATTTCCCTTTTTACGTCAGCAAGTATTTCGTCTTTTTTTGGCATCAAATTAGGTTCGGTTTCTGCTTCTTTTAGAAGATAGAACCAATTAAAAACTATTCGCCCAGAGTCGAAAATTCTTAAGAATTCTGGGGAATCAACGGGGTACGGGCTGGATTGTTCGTCTATTAAGTAAATTAAGTCAGTTAACGCTCCTAACAACTCATCGTAGTCCATGTTATCTAAGTTATTTAAATCTTTAGATATTATGTGATCTATACTATTCATGCCAAAATCTCCTTATCATCATTTTCGTTAATATTATTATCTTGATCGTCTTTCTCTTTAGACCAATCAAAGTTCAGTATTGCCACCATCCAGCGATTTCTTAGGTCTTCTTCACTCATTGCTTTCCTCATTAATTAGTTGCAGGTTTAAAGGTAGCGATAAATTGAACTTATAAAGTTCATTGCTAACTTTTTCTAAATTACTAATTACTTGTACTAGGCACCTTAGACCTTCATTATCTTCTTCCTTTAAACGTTCATAAAGATCATCAATTAAGCCATTCAAGTTATATTGAATATCTAGTAAGTTCTTATTCATCTACTCCTCCAAATGTTCTTCCAACAGAGTCAACAAAGTCTCTATAGTATTAATAAATGTTTGATTATCAGTTTGCTTTTCTATAAGCATCTTGCGTAAACGTTTTGATAGAAGTAGTAGCTCTTGTTCTCGGGTCATGCACTTGCTCCAAGTTGTTGAATTTGATCTTTAAATGGTCTAATTAGAAAATGTGCAGATTTTGTTATGTAAGGTAATGCTTTAAAACATACTTTACCTGATTCTGATTCTGATTCTGATTCTGATTCTGATTCTGATTCTGATTCTGATATTACTTCTTTGAGTATCCAGTATTCTTTAAAATAGATATGCCCGTCTTGGCTATAGACATCTAGTAATTTAATTTCTCTTATGATTTTACCATCATAGTTTGTAACTATTTCTTCTACTGGGTTGCCGTAGAAAGTTAGGGATCTATTTTCTGTGGAGTAATAATTTTTTGCGATTTTCTTTATAAACTTTGGAACTAAGATGGTTACTGTACGATTTTTATAGGAGTCATACTCTACTTTTAATATTTTTTTCTTAACAAACCTTCTTAATTCCCTTCTAACATTTTGAAAATCTGTTGAACAATAAGCATTAAATCTATCATCATCTAATTCACTGGAGCGAAGACCAATTTTGTTATATAAACAATTCATTATCCATTTATCAGTGCAATTTAATTCTAATGACTGTATCCAATTGAATACTAAATCATCAATTGAGTTCTTATTCATAAAGAATATCTTGAAAATATTAAGGATATAATAGTACGCCTGTAGTCGTAGGCATGTCAAAGGACGAATTTGTCCGCTAAAATACTTGACAATTAATATTTGGGAGGTTATATATGAAGGTATATTCATAACGTTATTTCCTCCTTTGCGGCGGTTATAGCGTTAAAGTCAAAAGGTTTTACGTCATTAATTCTCGCAGTTTTAATAAAAAAACCATTTGATGAAATAGTTAATAAACCGAAAGGGGATGCGTTAACGTTTAAAAAGAAATAATCGGAAAAATTGGTTTTATCTTTCTGGGTGGGACCTTTTTTTTTGCTCATAATCTAAAATTCCATATATTTTTTAATTTTTATACAAAAGAGCTGCCCACAATTACATGATTATTCATGTCAAGCTCCACAAATACACCGAATACTTGAATTAGGTGTATTTTTTTTTTTTTTCTGATATATATTATATAAAACTGTTTTTTATACTCTGTCAAGTATAAAAAAGTTTGATTCTTGAATAATATAATTTAATTACTATATATTTTAAGAGCTTAAAATAATTGGGATAATGCTATGGAATTAAATAAAAAACATTTAACCGAGGCTATACAAAGGGTAAGCCTGTTTACTACAGTAGAAAATAACATACTACAAGAATTAGTAAGGGTTGAAGAAAATAATGTAGCTTTTGCGAAGGCACAAGATTTAAAAGATAAATTAAATGTATCTCGTACCGCTATATACTCTTCTTTAAAAAATTTGCAATTAAAAGGTTGTATCAACAAATTACATAATTTGAAAGATTCGTATGAATTAAATGAAGAAAAGTTACAGTCTATCCTAGATACATATAATTACAAAAAATAAATTCTATGAAAGAAAGAGGTAAAAGAATATTTAATTTTATATGTTATTTTTGTATAGCTCCTGTCGTGGTTTTGACTACAGGCGGTACATTTTTAGCATGCTTCTATGATTATGGAGGTACTTTTTTGTGCTTAGGTCAATGGGTGTTATTGTCTGTTTGTGGATGGATATGGCTAATATTAGCTTATAAATTTTTAATAAAATTATTTGATTAATTTATTATGGAAAAGAAGCTGGATAACAAAGAAGACTGGAGTATAGTTATAGCTTGTTTATGCGGTATTTTTCAAATAATTTTTTTGTGGAAAAATCCTAAATATCCATTGTTTTTTAAAATTACAAATAATTCCAATAGTGACATAACAAATATTAACATTGGGTATACGGTAAAATTAAATGGTTATTCTACTCCGATTAACGATTACGGAGTTTTTGAAACTGATAAAATCATACAACCAAACTATACATATGGAACTTGTTTAATGGTAATAAGTAACGGAAATAAGTCTTGGTTAGATAAACCTATTGATACAAATAGCAAGTGGAGTAAATAGCCCGCCCCGCAGCGCATAATTTTTATGCCAAACTCTCAACTATTTCACCTAATTCAAGTATTCGGTGTATATTTTTTTTTTCTGTTATAAACCTTTATAATATTAAATATATAATATTGTCAACAAGAAAGCTTGAAATATTTTTGAAGATAACTATATAAAAAATAATAAATTTAATTTAATAAAATTATAACAATGAAAAAACAATCAGAAAAAGACTTAATATTCAAGGCAATTGATAGTTATGATTTTTATACAAATAGCCAAAAAAAGACCTTACAAGTTTTACTCAATTTGTCAGAAGATTATGTTGCTAGGACTACTGTAAATACACTTTGTGAAATTGTAAAAATTACAAAATCTATGATGTATGTAAATTTATCTTTTTTAGAAAAAGAAGGAGTTTTAACAAAGATAAATACAAAAAAAAGAGGTTTGAAGTATAAAATTCACAAAGAAGAACTAGATAAAGTTAAAAATCTATATACAAAAAAGATAAAGTTAAAAATCTATATACAAAAAAGATAACTATGATGGGGAATTGAATTTAATATGAGGTTATTAGTCTATACTTTTGTGTTGTTTTTAACTTGTAGTACTTTTGCATCGGAACAGATTTTAACCAGATGTAAAGTTACTAATTATACTTACGTGCATGTGGAACCTTTTAATGATGAAAAGGTTATTTTTAAACCCACACCAACTAAGTTTGTTACCAAAAAAGAAAGTTCTGGAGAAGAGTATTGGTTAACTTATGACCCTTCTTTACCATTAAAATATAATATATATTATAAAACAAAAGACTTACCTGATAATGATTGGGATGTTGTTAATGATACAATAAAAAAAGGTTCAAAATATTTTATCTTTAATGATAATCCCCAAAATTTAGTTTTAACTAATATATATTTAGGTTTTCAAAAACAGACTTATCATTTTAACTTAGACCATAATCACAATGGTTTTTTAATATTAACTAACGTAAGGTGGAATTCTTTGATGAATGCAATGAATAACTCATCATTGTATTTCTGCGAATGTAAAGGAGCAACAAAATGATAATAGATACACATAAATTTGTAGAAAATTTAGTAGCTGCTGGTTTCAAGAAGAAGCAGGCGGAGGTAATTGTTCAAGAGATGAACGAAAATCATAAAGAATTAGCAACAAAAGAAGACTTAAGAGTTATTGAAAGAGATTTAAACTGGATTAAAGGATTTTTGTTTTTGGTACTTGGTGGAATTATTTCTTTATGGTTTAAATGAAAAAGTATATTCCAATATGGATTTTAGCCTTATCACCTTTAATGATATCACCTTGGTTGCTGATTAATTTAGAACCAACACATCAAACATGCTTCACACCTCCCCATAATCAATGTGGCTCATTCATAGTAAATCATATAGACCAAGCAAAAAAGAGTATATACATTCAAGCATACGGCTTCACTCATCCAGATATAATTAACTCACTAATAGAAGCAAAGAAACGTAATGTTAATATTGAGATAATCCTTGATAGTAGCAACTTTTCTAAAAAGAAACTTCCACTAATAAAAGAATTAGAAGAAGCAGGAATAAAAATATATAAATCCAAAGTTTCTGGCATAGCTCATAACAAAATTATGATTATCGATGAGAAAAAAGTCCTTACTGGCTCTTTTAACTTCACTAGGTCCGCAGATACCCGAAACGCTGAGAATATCCTAGTTGTACGGGATAGACAGCTAGTAAAAAAATATCTTGAGAACTGGATAAAATAAATAAAATACTTTTTTGTCAAGTTTTATACTTGACAAACTTTTCTCCCCCTATTATACTCCAATCATAGCTTGAAGGAGCAAGCAAAAAAAGGCACCTACAGCGAAAGCCATAAGTGCCAAGTTTCTTTAAGCTATCTTTGGGGCTAGCTACATCCAAGTGCTAGCTCCATCGTATAACGGATTCATCTACAGATTGAGTCCTAATCAATCTAAATTGCGAGGTAGATGAATAAAAAATTAAAGTAAGTTTATAAATCCTAACTAAAAAAGGAGGTTAAGACTATGGATAATAATGCAAAAAATTTACCAATAAATCAAGGAATAACTAAGACAATTTGCAAATTTTGTGATAGAATACTGACAAAAAGTAACTGCGAGAATCTTATGTTAAACTTCATAACATTAAAAGATGTTACAGAGACATCAGTTAAGATGTCAAAGAAGGTAGATAATAAGTTTCTATTGAGTCAAAAAGGAAAGGAACTAATTGCCAAAGCATCTTATTATAAAATTCCGCATACAACAAATAATTTAAATTGGTTAGAGCTAATAGAAGAAGTAGCAGATTATGAGCTATTACTTGAAGAAGCTGATAATTTACATATTGATTGGGATATTTCTGAGTATGACCCAGTAGCACTCCAGCAAGAAATAGAATACCGAGCATGTCAAGAGAGAGAAAATCAAAGAGATTTGTATCGTGATTATTACAATTCATGTGTTTTAGGAGTTTGATTATGGCTACTATTGCATTCACAGGATTTTTTGATAAATACACTCCTATAGACTCTGAACCGAATTATGTTTTTAAGACGGGTGGTACTACGTACTTAATAAGTTGCAAGGATTATCCAGCTTTAATAAGCAAATTATCTCCGTCTGACCTAGTAAACATACAAGGTGATGTATCTGGGCAATGTAGTGATGGTATCAAGTTAGTTAATGTTAAATTTGGAGGTAAAGATGAATAGAGAACAATTTTTACTAGATCGCAAAAAAGGTATAGGTGGTTCAGATTGTGCAGCAATACTTGGAGTATCACCATGGAGAACTCCACTTGATGTTTACAATGATAAGTTAAGCCCTGATATATCGGATGAGCCAAATGAAGATATGCGTAGAGGAATACTTGCTGAAGAGTTTGTACTGAAAGAATATGTAGAACGTACAGGCGAGTTTTTAAAAACCAATATACCAACTATAATTAGCAATGAATATCCATTCATGCGAGCTAATATTGATGCTTTAGCTGGGGATAATATAGTTGTAGAAGCCAAGACTACAAAAGCAAATATGTCGGCATGGGAGAACGGAATACCTGAATATTATAAAGCGCAAGTAGCTTATTATGCGATGCTAACAAATGCAGAGCGTGTAGATATACCAGTGTTGTTTAGCTGTTGGGAATATGCTTGCTTTACGTACTGGAGAGATGAAGAATATGAGTCTCGTATAAAAAAAGCTGTAATAGAATTTTGGCAAGAGCATATTATAAAAAATATTCCACCAAAACCAAAAAGCTCAGAAGAATTAAAAGTTGCCTATCCAAATATTGATGAAGCTTTAGTTAAAAAAGCGGATGACCATATTCGCCATGTAGTTTCAGAATATCAAGAAGTATCTGACCAAGTAAAAAAGTTAGAAGAAGAAAAAGAGTCATTAAAAAATACCATATTAGTATATATGGAAAATGCAGGACAGCTTGACGCTGGATTTTGCAAGCTAGCTTTAAGGGATAGGACAATAAATAGGTTAGATACACAAGCTCTAAAAAAGCAAAATCCAGAAATATATCAAAATTATTTAAAGGAAACTCACTCAAGGTTTCTACAATTCATGAGAGGTTAATTATGAGTACAGAAATACAAGAAGAAGTAAAAACATCTACATCCGAGGTTGTAAGTGTAGTAACGCAGGAAGAGGTAAAGACAGCTTTACAAGAAGTTAAAACTGTAAAGCCAAATGATGCTATATATGAACTATGCAATACTAGAAGAAATAAACTTCTACCATTTTTAAATAATAATTCTACGCAGTTTGAGAAGCTAGCACGTTCTTTTGCTTGGGAGATTAATACTAACGATAAGCTAAGACAGTGCAATCAAAAATCAATGATAGATGCTTTTTACAAATGTTGTGAGTATGGATTAGACCCAGCATCTTCTTTAGGTCAAGTTTGGATGATACCTTACGGCGGAAAGATAGATTTTCAAATAGGTTACAGAGGATGGCTAAAATTATTGTGGAACAGTCCACAAGTAGCTAATGTATATTCTTATGCTGTCTATGAAGATGATGAATTTTCGTATGAGCTAGGTATGAATCCAAATATTAAGCATGTTCCAGCTAAGGATGGTGATAGAAGTCTTGATAAGTTAGTCGCAACCTATGGAGTAGTAAAACTTAAGAATGGTGAAGCTCAAATAAAGGTATGTTATCGTGATGAGATTGAAGCAAGTAAAGCGTCTTCTAAAGGTGCTCATAAATCAGATAGCCCATGGCGTCATCATTTTGAAGCAATGGCGTTAGTTGTACCAATCCGTAAAATGGCAAAGAATCTAGGTTTAACAATGCGTGCTGATGAGTTTGACGAAGGAATACATGAAGTACAAAATATTAGAGAGGTAGCATAATGGAAGAATATAGATTTAAAGTTATTCAAAAAAACATTCTGCAAAAAAAGTCTAAATTTAATTTTAAGTACGATATAGAGGTGCTACTGGCTAAATGCTCTAAATTGTATATTAGACTAGAATTAACAAGGCATGAAAAAGATAGTAGATTCTTCTTAAATTCATTACTTTTGTCGCATAATGAGATGTTAGACTATTTGGATAATACTAATAAAGGTATATTACGAGGATATTTTGAATTTTCTGAAGAAGAGAATAGTAAGGCTTGGAGTATGTTGCGGTTAGTATTAAATGGTGAATATATACCAAATGATTTTGGAAGGAGGTGGAGCGATTTTAAGGCTCAATTTGTAGATTGGTATAATAAGTCTTTAAAGCTTAAAGCAGAAAGTAAATTTAATCTTATGAAGGAACAGGATATAGAATAATTGAGAGGTATTATGAGTGAATATAAGTTTAAAATTACCAGTATAAAAGCAGAAAATTATTTGCCAGAAGCAGCGGAAACAATATGTGTTCAGGTTTCTGAAGCTGAATTCAATCCAACTAGTTTTGTTTTTATTATAGATTTTAATCAAAATAACAGAAAAATACAGGTCAAGGACGTATCTGTAAAAGTTGGTGTAGCTTGGCAGGATATGGAGACTATTGCATACCTTAAAGGTAAATTTACCTTTACAAGCGAGCGTTCAGTGAACCAAGCTTTAATAGAGTTGCAAAAAGGCTTTAATAAGCAAAACTATTCTATAGATAATTTTAAACAGTCTTGGAGAGAGTTGCACAGGCAATTTGTCTTATGGTTTCATGAAGATTTTAATAGATATCTAGATATATTTGTTGCTTCTCATGAAATACTATGTTCTTTAAATAAAAAAGCTGATGGCAACAATTAAAAAAGAAAAGCTCCTACAGTATCTAGTGTATGCAAATGACGATATAGATATTCTAAAGTTAGTTAAGTATTTAGCTATGTACAGTAATGGAGCATTGAAATTAACGCATTCAGCTAGGAATAAGGCTGAGTGGAATATAGAGGAATAAGGAGTAAAAAAATTATGTTAAATGCATTAAAAAATCAATTTTGTAAATTTCATGATAATACAACTAATAATAAGATTAGCGTAGGAATTACAGAAAATTATTTAAGTTTTAAGATTAATAGTCGTTGTTATTATTTTAATACAGACGATGGTAAATATGACGGTTATTCAGACGAGATTAATATAACCGTCAATGAAAATTTACCGAGTCATGAAGAGGCTATTTTTTCTTATTAGAGTTATCTGGGGTGATAGTTTTATTTTGACCTTCTTCCCATTTACGAGCGCTTTCTTCAGTTTTTGGACGTCCAACAGTGGTAAGTTTTGAATTAGGGAATTGTTTTTGATGTTCACGCTCTCTTCGTTCAGGATTATTAGTAATTCCTCTATGTACAACTTTACGACCTTGTCTTAGCTCGTAGGTATGAGTGTTTCGTTTTTTAGGCATAATTATTATCTCCTTGATTGTATTAACCATCTAGACATAAAGCTAAACATAAAGTAGACTAAGCCTATCATGTCATGATGGTTAATGTTAAAATAGAGGTCAGCTTGAGTGTCTGCTCAAGCTCCTCGGTTCTTTTTTATACCACATATTCATTGCAGTTAAAATGAGGTTGACTTTGTTAGTATATAAGGTTATCTATACATATATATAAACACATATAAAGATATAAATATATGCGTATAATAGCTATACTTAATCAAAAAGGCGGAGTTGGTAAGACAACATTAGCAACTAATATCGCTACAAAATTACATATTGATAATGAAAAAGTAGTGCTAATTGATTCAGACCCACAAGGCTCTGCAAGAGATTGGCATGCTTCGGGTGACAATGATTTGCCAGTAATTGGTTTAGACCGACCAAACTTAGATAAGAATATCAAAAAAGTTGCTAGCCAATTTGATTGGGTAATTATAGATGGTGCTCCACAGCTTGCAGAAATGGCAATATCTTCTATTAAATGTGCGGACTTGATCATTATACCAGTTCAACCGTCTCCATACGATATATGGGCTTCTTCAGATTTAGTAGATATTATAAAACAGCGTCAATCTTTAACTGAAGGAAAGCCTAAAGCTTATTTTTGTATAAGTAGAAAAATAGCTAATACAACTTTGAGTGATGATGTACAAGATGCTTTAAATGGTTATGAGTTATCAGTAATGAAATCTAGCACATCTCAACGAGTTGTTTATCCCAAATCCGCAGCGCAAGGAAAAAGTATATTTAATGCTCCAAAAAATCTTGACGCAATTGAAGAAATTACCAATATAGTAAAAGAAATAAAAGAGATATTATGAGCTTATTAAAATCAGGTAGACCATCTGCTAAGATAAAAATAGATAAAGTAGAAACAATGAAAATGAATATAAATATAGACAAATCTTTTCATAAGGAGATAAAGAGATATGCGTTAGAGCATGATATTACTGTGACTGATCTTATCCTTACATCTTTACGTAAATATATAAACAAAAAAACATAACTTTATATCTATATGACCGAACAAAAACCTACATTAAAGCTAAAACTATCAGGCGAAGCTCTATTGAAATTACAAGCAAGAATACCTAAACCAAAACCACCAGAGCCAAAACGTTCTGAGATATTTGTAGGCAAAGGTGGTAAGGTATCAGCTAATAATGCACTAAACAAAGCTCAAGCAAAAAGAGAAGCTGAAGCAAGGGAAAAAGAAGAAGCTAGATTAAAAGCATTGAAACCAAAAACAGATTATGAGCAGTTTTTAGAAACTCCTTTAACTGTAACACAATATTTTAAAATATTATTACAACTACAAAAATCTAACTATAGAGCATTTCCACGTAAAGATAAGCCAGCAAAGCCTCTAGCTATTGGTATACATAAAGATATAGCGAAGGTATTTGGAATACCAAATAAAAAAGCCTTCTATTTTTGCCGTATGTATTGTGGAACCAAACGTTACAAAGATGCTTGTGTAAAAGGAGCTATAAGACGTACATTAAAAGGTAAAAATGCTGGTCTTGTTGATTAAAAAATACCTCTAAATATCTTGGTAAAGCCTAGCAAATATGCTATAATTCTTGCAATGGTGTTAAATTTATTTAAAACTGCGAGATCTTTCCTATGCCATGCCTTAAGGTATTGTCTTTTTTTCGGAACAATAAATTAGCAATAACAATTGGTTTTGTTTTATCAGTTGGTATTTTTTCTCCATATATATTTGGTCAAGATAATTTAGCTGAAGAACTAGCTGAATTATTCATCTACGAAAAAACAAGTGTCTTTATAGATTTCACACCTAAATCAAAAGAGGAAGTAGCTGCTAAGGACTTTCAAGAAATATTAGAACTCTCAAAATATGAGAGGTTTTAGTATGGAAGCCTCACAAAAAGCAATTAATCTAATTAAAAAATTTGAAAACTTTAGCCCAGTACCTTATAGGTGTCCAAAAGGCAAGAATACTATTGGTTATGGTCATGTTTTAGTAAATGAGCCTTTTTTGACTAATATTACGGAAATCGATGCAAATATTCTTTTGCAAAAAGATATACAGATAACAGAATCTTATCTTGATAGCATTATTAAGCCAAAGATTACTCAAGGAATGTTCGATGCTCTTGTGAGCTTAGTATTCAACTGGGGATGTGGAAAATTTGGCAATTCTAAAGGATTACAAGCATTAAATAATGAGAAGTATACAGCAGCATCAATTGAGTTTTTTAGCAAGTCTAAAGGTGTAGTCAATATTAATGGAAAGTTTTCTCAAGGATTATACAACAGACGTCAAGCTGAATTGAGGTTATGGATATCATGAAAAAACAAAATAAGTACAGGAATATTCCTACTGTTATTGACGGTATAAAGTTCGCTTCTAAAAAAGAAGCAAATCGCTATAAAGAACTTTTATTACTGCAAAAAGCTGGAGAGGTTAAAGAGTTCGAATGTCAAAAATCTTATGACATTAATCCAGATGCAAAGGACAAGGAGCATGAAGTAAAATATGTTTGTGATTTCTATGTGATTTGGAAAGATAAGCCACCGACTGTAGAAGATATAAAAGGTTTGAGAACACCAATATACAAGCTAAAGAAAAAATATTTCGAAACACACCATAATATGAAAATCACGGAGTTATAATGAATAAATACAAACTATGACAATTTAATTTTAACAATAAAATGGAGA